ACATTGACCAAAATTGCGAATAATAGAATATATATAATATAGATCGGTGTAACGCATTCTCGCTAAATTTAAAAAATGCAAAATACAAAAACACATAAAATATAACACTTCAGCACCCCGTAATACACATGAATATGAGCGTATTAGTGAAATGTTTTTTATTTCAAACTGGTCCTTGCAAAAAATTGCGCATCCGCCGGTATACAACTACTGGAAACTCTCAACATCGTTGGGCGTATGCAATGGCATAGCTAGTAGAGATGAAACACCAGTGAGCAGAGCTAGACAACCGTGTTGCTATGCAGGCGTCATAGGGCATTGTTTCGAGAACGTGCTTTCGAACAAAATTACATAAAATTACGTAAAAGGGTATTATGACGTATTTTTAAAGTTTATGGTGCTGTATTCTAAAGGCGGTAAGGCTGTAGAAATGTAAAGGTAATGTACCAAGTCATTGATGTAAGGTGACACCAGGCTTCCACCCCGACAGAACATGGAACACAGACCAATGCCAGAGTTCCTGGATGTCGTTGGCAGACGTACAAACCAGCAAACCCTGCTGACACGCACGTGTTACCGAGACAGGCTAGCAGGTTGATGATCCATTTCTCAGCTGAAATCATCGTTACGTAGTGTCTTAACCCTCATCCCACCAACATATTCCACAGCATTGTATTACTGTACATGGGCCTATCAGGCCCAGTCATCCCACCAACATATTCCACAGCATTTATTATATTTCAGGTCTTGGTCTTGGATATATTTTCACTAACGTCAAGGGCAACATTATGTATAATTACACTGGCTCCAGGAACCATGCAGCGACTGCAAGCAACCATCAGAGCGGAAGGGTAAGTTATTTTTACCATTATTATAAACATTTAACAGATTGATTTTTTGTAGTTCGATTTTTGTTGTTTGGAATCAAAACCAATTTAATGTAAAAATATATATTTTTATGAAATTTCAAAACAATTAATATATTTGAACTCAGTTATAATTCTAATGAAGCTCTCAACTCCTTTTGAGATATGAGTAGACGGAAAATGCACATAAAAGGGTATTTCTTTGTATTTTCAGTTACACTGCTTCAGCAGGACTCCTGCATGTTCTTCAGCATCATGGGAACTCTCGGAAGAGGTCTACAGAGCATTATATGGACAACTTGTAGTATGTATCTTTCGGTTTTAGGAATGATTGTGGCGCTGTGAAGGTACAGGGCCACAAGGTACACGGTTCAAATCAACATTTCTGTAGTGAAAATGCCACCATAGGGTTTGGCAGTTCCAACATATGTTTCCAGGTGTGTTGGGACTTCCACCTGAAAAAAAATAGTAACAAAGTGAAATAGTCTTGAAAGTGGCGCAAATATGAAAAACATTTTTCACGAATGATCCATTAAAAAAGAATTATCATAAAAGAAAAAAAAGTTATATTGCTTTGGACATTTTAATATAAACAGAAAGCAATCATCATGTTTTTCAATTTCAGTTTGGAGGAAAACTTGCTGCTCCAGGAACAACACTTGTTTATCCTGAAGTTGTCCGAAACATGGTACGAGAACGCTTCCCAGAAGAAGGAGCTGGAGCTTATGACTCCCAGTATATGAACCCGCATGTGGTAATTAGTGTTGTTTATCATCTCCATCACAAATAACACAGCAGTGAAATCAAACAGACATATTCTGAACACATCAAATTAAATGTTCTTTTCTATTCGTGAGGGGCTTCACCTTACTCTTCGCCAGATGCTGGACCACCAGTGGAGAGCTCCACCAAAGAAATGCCAGCAGTGCAAGAACAGCAAGGCTAAGCCCTACTAGCAACCCTTACATGTAACAAACATAAACTTGGAATCTAAAGGTCTTTTGTTTTTCATTGTTCAAAACCTTAACATAATGGTCAACCAACCAACAATATCTCTGCTGTACGCATAACAACATGATTACATATCAGTAGAGAGGCAGTCTTCACACACGATCGTCTGAGTACTGTGTTCCTTGCAGACATTGCGTTTACACATATGACAAGTGATTTTACTCTTCCGGTGTTTGCTGCTGCTACAGATGCAGCATCGGCGGCGTTTTACTCCTTCGTCATCTACATCACTGGAGGGTCCTGTAGGTTTAACTGTACTTTGCATATCGAGTCCACGTTGCAGCTGTGGTGTGTTCATCCTTCTCTGTATTTGTGGAAGTACTAATCCCTCACCCAGTGCCTGGAGAAAATTTCTTCTTAGCTCATTAGAGGAAGCTAAAGTTCTAGGGAACTTTGTTGTCCAGAGTATGTAGGCGGCAATCCCGGCAACATACAGCATGTTCATGAACATGACAAGAGGCCATCTTTTAGATTTTCTTTTGACGGTATACTTGTGAGCCATGTGATCAAACGTGTCAACACCACTTTCGTCTTGTTGTAGTAAAGAATTATTTCCGTTTTTCTCCGTTCAGAATTTTCCACCACCTGACCATCATGCACCGAACTCAATAATGTGACACATTTTGCTTTTCGACATTGATATGAAACAATGGTCATGTCGTTTTGAAAGCCAAAGAGTGAGTCGCATATCGGTCTTCACTTCTTTGCAGTGAACTCAGGTGGCAAGAAACGTCTGTTGTGCCTAACAGTTCCAACAAGGGTCAATCCATTGGACAATAACTCTCTTGCCACTTCATGGTCACTGAAGTAGTTGTCTGCGGTGACATTGCGATTGGTTCCAAAGTATGGTTCACTAAGGCTGAGAGTTATCTGACGTCCAAGGCCTACACGTCTTGAATTTCCTTCTCTGCCAAGATATGGAATGCATTACAGTGGGTAGAAAGATTCTGAGTCCACAAGCCAAAACAGTTTCAATCCATATTTATCCGGTTTCATTGGCAAATACTGTATGAATCCACATCTCCCACGGAAGGGTACCAGCTGCTCATCAACCGTAAGATTTGATCCTGGTATGTAGTAGTGGCCTACAGCAGACTCAAAGATATCCCAAACGTCTCGAATTGCTGCAAGCTTGTCCTTCTCTTTACGAAGCCCTCGATCTTCTCTATTGTCAAACTGCAATGCCGACATGAGGTTTTGAAATCTTGACCTTGACATTGTCGCTCTGACCAGAGGCCATACTTTTGTGACCACAAAACATCAGTGTCTGTCATATTGTGTTTCAGATGGCCAAAGGTATAAAGAATGCCAATGATTGCGCGTATTTCAATCCCGTCAGTCTCTCTCCAGGGTTGTTTTCTTGCCATCCGTCTTCCTTCAATGTTGGTGAAATGTACAGTTTGTTGTACGATAACATCTGGAATGTAAAGGCTAAAAGCTTCAACTTCAGTGGTCACATGACTGGCATTAAGAACCTTGTGAAGTGGACCACGGAAGATGTTCCGCCTCCTTGTGCGACCAGTGGGAGGTGGTTCCTTGAACCACTTGCTTCCATCTTTTCCAGTGAAGTACGACCTTTCTTCCAGCTGTACTGGAACTAGTACTTCATTGTTCTTCTCACTAACATCATCCATTTCATCTGAGGAACTGGTTTCAGATCTGGAGCCCGCAACATAGTCACTGTCCGACCCGCTGTCAGAACACTCTGACATACATCCACCATCATCATCTTCTTTTAAGTTTTTCAAAAACTGGCTAAATACAACGTCCTTTATACCCGGACGACTCACTCATGGCTAATATCTTTGTTACATTGTTACATCCAGTATATATATACTTCCCCCTTTTTCATGTCCCATTATGCTTGACAACGATACACAAATCTGTATCGAAACGTCGCACTCACGAATAAAAAGAAGTTGTTATCCATAAAGTTTGTTCTATTATGTACTTCCCAACTTCTAGAATGCCACTCAAAGAAGAAAATATCTGACTGCTTACCACTCAGTGGCCAGTTCAATAATATGTATAGCAAAACCTAGAAAAAAGAGGGGTGACTGGGCCTCTGAGGCCCATGTTCAGTAATAACGGGGACATTTCCAACAGTGTTCAGTAACTTGTTTTGTACAGCTGTTGAAATGAAAATAAAAAGTGTACAGGTAGCTGAGATGTTGTTCGAGGAATACCTAGAATTTCACCAAAAAATGTGTAACTGGGAAAGAGCTGGATTTTTTGAAAGCATCTCCTGGGCCTGTGAGAACCCAGTTAGGGGGATGAGGGTTAAGGGTAAAATGTCATAGAAGCTTAGCGTTTACCGCGTTGTTAGGAAAAAATACTTTGTCTTCAGCTTACAGCTTAAGATGACCCGTGTTGTAACCACATTTGGTTATGTTGCATGTAGTGTTTTTCATACCTACTTGGGTGAGCCTCTTCTTTTGCATTCTGATGTAACAACTAATAACCGGCATACCCAAGTAGGTATCAATTGATTACATGCAATAACACCTAATATTAATTTTACCTACTTGGCCTTTCAGTCAATATTTGAAGAGGCCATGGCCGTACGGGCCATCACGGATATACTCATCTATCACAAGGGGCGAAATTTCAAATCATCAACTATGAAAGATGATTTAATAGTACTAGTTCTAGTTTAATTATTTACTTTAAAGGAAATTGTATTCATTGATAAACTGGGATGTGTGTAATTAGATAGTTTATAAATCATTAGGATATGATTATTAAATGAGTGTCCTTGCGATAGGGGCTGAAGTACCGCTCAAGTATTGACCCCACCTGTGAGGGTATCAGTCCATCATGACATTCAAGGTATTATATATCTACCAGTTTATCGAAGTACACTTATTCTAAATCATGGCTGAAGGGAAGATGTAAATCCAGGTAGTGTTCACGCAGGTAGAAAAGTTCTGTAAGTCCTAATGGTCCAAAGTGCGGTGATCTATGTTCGGTTAACGTTGTTGGCGACCTGTTGCCCATTCATAACCGATGTCTTTAGCACTTGACCAAACGCTTTAACCACAGGGTACCAGTACGCCCCAACATGGGCAGAATGGAAAGAATCAAAAATCATTTTGTGACTGTGCAGAATAGATTTGCTCAGACCAAGGTACATTTTCTGAGAACACATGTTTAGTTCAGGTTGAACGCTGTGAACATTCGCCAAAACACGACATTACAATTCATAACTGTGGTCACATCGATTGCCTGTCAGTATGTGGTCCAAAGCCGCAATCAAGTAGAGACGATACCAGTTGTTTTGTCATTCGAAACCAACAATCTGCTATGAAGAAACGATATTTTGCCATTCCCTGTCTCAGTGTGGTTATACTTTTTGTGTATCTACATTTGAACTGGAATACACTCAACCTATCACAGTAAGTATTATTGTATGTATAAAGTTCGACCATATCATCACCTTAGGTGCCACCGGGTCATAGAAACAACTCGGACACGGTCTAGTGACGACACCGTTCCCTCCAACTTTATTGTTTTCATCACTGGTCAGCGAAACCGGTTCCATTTTTTCTGTTTGCTGTAAGTGTCATTGTGGGGTGATTGAATATGAGTTACCAAAATTGCTTGTGTGGCACCCGTGAAGAAACTCTGACAAAGTTTAAAAAATCAGAAACTAATGAATTACAATATAAACAAGAGTATAATCAATTAAAAACTAAATATAATACATATAAATCCTTATTTACAGATGGGTCCAAGGACGGTGGCGCAGTGGCATGTGCCACTGTCATTGGATCCAGAACAATATCTTCTCGAATACCGGATAACAGCTCTACATTTACAGCAGAAGCAAACGCCATCTTAACAGCTCTTAAATACATACAAAGACATCCTAAACATAAACAATATGTACTCTTTTCTGACTCTCTTTCTTGCCTTCAGGCTATTAAAAATCTATCTTTCAAACATCCACATTTAATTGAAATGATCAAGTTGTATAATGATCTTGCTACTGGCCAATGCGACATCGTCTTCTGTTGGTTGCCCAGCCACGTTGGCATTTCTGGGAACACAATGGCCGATCTTGCTGCTAAGGCAGCACTCAACAAATCTGTGACACCACTTCTGATCCCATACTCTGATTACAAAGCTTGCATTAGAACTTACATCCGTGATCTGATGCAAAAGAAGTGGGACGCCCAAGTAGGTATCAATAAATTACATGCAATAAAACCAACTATCGGTTACACCTACTTGGGCTGTCAGTCCAGATTTGAAGAGGTCATCATACGACGATGTCGTATTGGCCACACAAGATATACGCATGAGTACCTATTAAAAGGTGAGGATCCTCCATTTTGTGTCCCTTGTGATGAAAGAATCACGGTCAAGTGTGTTGAGTACTCCATCACAAGGGATATCTATTTCAAATCCCGAACTATGAAGGATCTTTTAACTAATATAAGTCCTCATTTAATTATTTCATTTTTAAAAGAATTAAATTTAACAGATTTGTAAATAGCTAAATATTTTATGATTGGAAGTTTGAATTAGTAACACAGATTGTTAGTGGCTGTATCCTCGAGGGGGGTTAAAGTACTGTAAAATTATTGTCCTCCTGAGAGGGTACGTAAGTCCCAAAACATTCAAAGTAAATTTCAACTTTCCGTTTTTATGCCCCCGCCATTTATGGCAGGGGCATATAGGGTTACCCTCGGTGTCCGTCCGTCCGAAACAGGGAATGCATTCTATCCACTTCTCCACCATAACTGCTCTGTGGAATTCAATGAACTTATACATGGGCTTTCTTGGGACTCTAATGGTGTGCATCTCATATTTTATTTAAATATTTTATTGTGGTTTTTTTTGTAAGTTTAGAGACATTTGAACTCATTCATTTTGCTGAATTTCTCTATGATGATAGTGTAATAGGGGATGAAGTCTATCCACTTCTCCACAAAAACTGCTCAACAGAATTAAATGAACTTCTACATGTCTTTTGTAGGGACTCTAAAGGTGTGCATTTCATAATTTTGTATGCAATTTCTTAATTATGTCACTTTTACAGATGTTACTTAGTTGAATCTCGTTCTATTCAGCCAGTGTTCGTTCCATCCAACAGGGGTGTACGTTATCCACTTCTCCTCAAAAACTACTTTATGGAATTCATGTAGATTACACATGTGCTTTATAGGGACTCTAAGGGTGTGCATCTCAAATTTTGATTTTGTATTTTATTTATTTTTCCAATTTTAATGCCATTTGAACTTAGATAAATTTTGTTGAATTTCTCTCTGAATATAGTGTTGTAGGGGGTGAAGTCTATCCACTTCTCCACAAAAGCTGCTCAACAGAATTGATTGAGCTTCTACGTGTGTTTCATTGGAACTCTAATGGTGTGCATCTCATACATTGTTCATCCAATTTCTTAATTTTGTCACTTTTACAGATGTTTGAACTTACTTGAATTTTGTTCTATTCAGTCTGTTCGTTCCATCCAACAGGGGGTGTACGTTATCCACTTCTCCTCAAAAACTACTTCATGGAATTCATTTAGATTACACATGTGCTTTATAGGGACTCTAAAGGTGTGCATCTCATATTTTGATTTTGTATTTTATTTATTTTTCAAATTTTAATGCCGTTTAAACTTGCATAAATTTTGTTGAATTTCTCTCTGAATATAGTGTTATAGGGGATGAAGTCTATCAACTTCTCCACAAAAGCTGCTCAACAGATTTGGCCTTCTATGTTGTGTTTCATTGGGACTCTAAAGGTGTGCGTCTCATACCTTGTTCATCCAATTTCTTAATTTTGTCACTTCTACAGATGTTTGAACTTGAATTGGCTCTATTCATCCAGTTCGTCCCATACAACAGGGGGTGTACTTTATCCATTTCTCCTCAAAAACCACTTCACAAAACTCATTTAGCTTACATATGTCTTTTATAGAGACTCTAAAGGTGTGCATCTCATATTTTGTTTTCGTATTTTATAATTTTTTGTATGTTTAGAGAATTTTGAACTTAGATAAATTTTCCTGAATTTCTCTCTGATGATAGTGAAATAGGGGATTAAGTCTATCCACTTCTCCACAAAAACTGCTCAACAGAATTGATTAAGCTTATACATGTGTTTCATTGAGACTCGAAAGGTGTGCATGTCATAGTTGCATAGATGTTTATTGAACTTGTTCGTGAATTTTGTTCAATTATTGATCTTTATATGTCTTATGAATGTCAGCGGGGGCATCCCTGTCCCTGGACACAATTTTTTCTTGTTTAATCGTAGAATATGTGTAATTTTAATGTATGGCTAGATATATCTAAATTGCTAACAGCTGAGGGGATGATGTAAATCCAGCTAGGGCCCATGCAGGAAGCAAATTTACTGTAAGTCCCCATGGTCCCTAGTATGGTGATCTACCTTCAGTTGTTGGCAATCTTTTGCCTGTTTTTATATTGTATTGTCATTTATAGTTCCAATATTTTAGATTTCATTGCTAGTTTTAAATGGTTATCTGTGATACACTAGTTGTTTAACTGTTCTTCGTCAACAATTTTTTAATGTCCTACTTTATTGATCTATAATATAATTATAAACTGTTCTCGTCACGATATGGATGAAATATTGCCTATCTGACGATAAATATTATCTCACTCACTCACTCAAAATTGCTTGTGACACCATTTCGAGACAAAAATATTTTCATAAACTTATCAAAACAGAGTCATGTAGCATATAGCATATCAAAAGGTAGCTTATGATGCAAGATATAAAATTAACCATATAGTATGGTTCTAATTTTAATTTGGTGACATGAAATATCACATAATCATATAAATTAATCACATAGTTTGTCCTTCATCGGACACCAACATTGTAAGTATTGGCCTCTGTTAATAGAAATCATTTATTCAATCAATGTATTCTCCCATTTCATAATATATACTACCACGACATACTTATGTAGTAATAATAGTACCCAGGTAAGGTTAATGTGACTGTCATATAGTCATGCACAAGTGCCAAATCAGGCCTACCAGTAGTCAGAATTGACACACTGTCACACGTGTCTGGGAAATTAAATGACAAATAACATAAAGCCAAATCTGCAGTCAATATAAACTGAATCTATTAATACAGGAGTGACACATTATATCATAGTGAACAGATAACTACATATTACAAGTGGGGTATGCAAGTGTAATATATAATGTGTGCTATTAAAGGATTTTTAAAAGGGTTAAACACTATGCATTTTTATTACATAATGCCATTCAAACATGAATATATACCACATCTGCACCATCCATTTACGAAAACTAGTCGTAAAAATTATAAATATGCACCAAAACTAAAACCACTTTAGCCCCGCCCACTCGTATGCATATTTTTATGGTTTAGCGGTCTGCCGTCTGTGGGTGTGACGTCATACCCGAGAGTCCGCTCAGTGTGTTGACATTTCAGTAGTGTATACGCCATCGAGTTGAAAGTGACACGAAGCGCAATATTTTGAATGAAGCGTTGTTGTGATTATGTATTGGAAACTGACAACTGCACTTCGAGTTTTGATGATTATCCAAATGCGTAAACAACACGGATGTACATTTCCTGAGAAATTCTATTTGACAAGAGGAAGGTCAGAGATTGTTTACTGTCATCGTGCGGATTTTGTAAACCCCACCACGCACGGTCATCTATGTTCGTTACACTTTTCAAAGAAGTGCTATGAAAGAGACCTAACCTCTGGCGAAATATGGATACGAATAGGCAAAGCTTGAACTTTATAAGGATGCTATACATCGGGCATTCCTTTCGACATTCCAAACAAACACAGAGGCCGAAATGTCAACTTGGGACTGAGACCGAGAGAGTTGCATTCCGGACGCGACGTTGGTTGCAGGTGAGTTTTAAGATGTAGTTGTTTTGGAGCAACATAAACACTCCAGTACTAGCTAGCTGTATAAAGAAATAGTTGATGGAAAAGTACGTCATAATTTGCGCTCATGTCCTATTTTCGATCAGAGATATATTTTCACAGCCACTGTTACTGTTACCCAGTAGGGCCAAGTCATCTATTTCCCGAGACGGAATGTTGGGTGTTTTGTGGTGTGAGTGTGTGTGGAGGGATTGGGATGGGGGTGGGCATGGACAAATGAGAACTTGCAACATATGAGTGCGGTGGTGAGAGAGAGCACATAATTATTAAAACATAATAAAAAATAAGTCATATCAGATAATTATCCACCAGGGACTGGTCCCCTACCATGTTAAAATGGTATGTGAATTGTGTGTGTGTGTGTGCGCGCGCGCGTGTGTTTGTGACATGATTAAAATGTTGACTCTCACTCTTTCTCTCTTTAAGGCAATGTACAATAAATAAAATGAAAATGACTGCTCTGCACTGGCATAAAACTTAGGTATCTATGGACCCCTTGTAAAAACATCATGGCAGCTGTATATATAGGTAACTTTTAACCTACTTTCAAAAATGGGAAATCAGGGAAATATGTTCATTCAGATAATGTATTTCTTTGTGGGTTTTGTTTTTGGCAAATGTAAAAATGCTACTTTAATGCTATTTTTAGGATGTACATGGCAGCATTTCACATCAATGAAAACGACCTAAATACCCTAGAAGTGACCAAAACTGGAGAACCCACCAGGGCAATCAGCTACCCCTAAGCCTAAACCAAGAGGCCAAGCCAGTGAACAAGAAACCAACACATGGTAAATATAATTCAGACAATCAATAATCTTTTGTTGAACTGGTGCACTCCAGTTTGAAAAAAACACACTGTTCCTATTACTGCATGTTTTTCCGTAAGTAATCAGTCAACACTAAGTCTTGTTTGCAAAGACACTGGTTTTTTAATCATCATATCTATTTTCCCTCTAAGCATTTGTTAAGACAAAAGTACTTACTTTTTTAGTGCAGATTTCAATGAAAATTATTATTATGGTTGCCAAAACAAAATAGGCTGATATTGTGTTATAAAATGTCTCTAATTCAATGTAAAACTTATTCACAGAGTTTGTGGAATTCCTACTCAGGGCCATTCTCGAGAGAAGAAACATATTTCCTTCCTACAGCCTTGCAAGACACAACATCCTATGGATATTCTGCCAGACACTTTCATTATAACTAGTAAACAGGAACTGGTGAATTCTCTGACATTAAGATATAAAATGAAATCATGTTATGTGTCTAGGTTGTGAACTGAAACCAGTTGTGCCTGATGTCTTAAGGTCTATTGTATTCGTCTGTTTGAATCCTGGGACTTGTTCAGATGGTAAATGTTTCCAGATTGCAGTCACCACTGTGTCACATGGTGTTATTGGAGATCAATCTTGTTTTCTTAGGTTTTTTACAAGTCCATCCAGTTAATTATAATTAACACGCAAGTCTTTGCCTTCATGATGTTGGTGTACACACTGTATTCATTAATTTGTCATAAAAAGTTTGTATGCAAATAAATTATTTGCTTTAATTTTTGTGTGCTGGTTTCTTGGTTTGATCGATCGTCTTTCTTTGGGACTGATCACACTTTACGCATTACTACTAGAACACAATGAAGAATTTTCTTTTTCACTAGCTGACAGTTAAAGAGATAGATAAAGATTTTTCAGTTCTATTTTTTTCATCTGTATATATTTATTACATCTATTATCAGCTGTTAAGGAAGTTACAGGTCTTTATCATTTTATGTATATTTTGCAGATTTATATGACTAAGTATCACGACAAATAACTGATGCTTTACACGTAAATGGAAATCGAAAATGTAATAAAACTGATGTTTGATGCACCATATCAGAGACGATACACCGACTTCTCCGAAAACATATACTAACGAATTTAGGGTACTTCTGTACTGTATACAGTAGTGAGATCGAACTTATCGACTTCCGTAACGGTACGTATTTCATCACCATACTTAAACCTTTACGGACAAATTTAGCAGAAGACGCATTTTATGAAATAAAGCGGAAAGTTACTTAATAATCTTCATAAAATCATGAACCTCGAACGTAACTATTTCAGTGTTTACCTTCCCATACTGATGTATACCGGAAGACAGGCTCAACACATTGATCATTGCCGTTATCATGACTGCAAATGTTACCGTGACCGCGGAAAAAATAATTCAATATCTAATCAGTTTTCCATGAACATGTGATAGGCAAGTGGCTTGCATAGCAGTCTGCAGTAGGTCTATTCAAAACATAGTCATAGTCGGGATCGTCCCACGGCTGTATGTTGTCAACTGGTGGAATCGTCGTTAATATTCCTCTCGGTCTTGACGCTAGATATACTTTCAAATTGAAAATGTTGCATGTATGTGATATTATCTGTATCTAGTATGCCATCCAAATCCAGGTTTGACTTCGTGGATTGATTTATTTGCTAAACTAGAAGCAGACCTCAGTAAGCGAACAGGCTCTGTACCACTGTATTTTCCGTGTGTTGATGTAGCGACTCTCGGGTATGACGTCACGCGACCACGTGACCAGCTACCTCATTATCTTGCGTAATCGCAAAATGTTATCGAGGGAGGTGCGTTTTAGATTCCTAATACAAGCTGTATAATGAAATATTACCCTTTTTAACTGTATTTTGTGAATATTATATATACCCAGGGATTCATTAAGAGCGAAAATAGACAATGTGAAGTGACCTTTTTAAAAATCCTTTAAACACTCTGCTTAGATTTCACCTCCCTGGGGGTATTTTAGTCTCACGTTTCTTGTTTCTGCTTTAAAGCAGCCGTGGTACTGTAAGTGATTTCTTAAAAAAGATATTTACAGGACAACCCCGGCAGTACCTGGCCCATTATAAACCAAGAAATTGTTTTACAGTCTGCTGACTTAACTCACCCGCAATAATCATGTAATCTGATGGAAGTGTACAAGTATACTCATGCCAATAATGGTTGTCACCCCCTTCAATTTTTTTAATTGGAGAGATAGGGTGACATCCATTATTGGCATGAGTATATTTTCAGAAAGGCTACTGGCACTGGCGGAGGTGGCATACAGAGGCCTCGACCTGACTACTAACACTGCAATGGAGCAGCAGCTTGTCGTTGGTTTATGTAAAATCATATTTACTCAGTCACTTCTTTGTTTAAGGATTTAGGTATAAACATTATATAAAGCTTATGTTGTATTATAAAAGGACAAGGAAGAGGGTATAATTTGACATAACAACATATATGAGTGAGTGAGTTTAGTTTTACACCGCACTCAGCAATATTCCAGCTATATAGCAGCCGACTGTAAATAATCTGGACAGATTATCCAGTGATCAACAGCATGAGCATCGATCTGCGCAATTAACAACATATATGCGATTCAGTGATCATATGCCATTCAGGTATTGCGTACCCTGACAAACATTTACCAAAGACAGAAGACGATGTGGAAATCAACGAGAACAAGTCCCAGACCAATGCCTTGACTTCAAATAGATTTGCCCTAAAGACATTTCCTAGATGCACAGCAGGAATCCCCTGTTCAAATAAACGAAGGTATGTCTGGATAGACATGGTGCCTGAGCAAGTAAGAGGTCTGTGTAGAACTGAACTGGGGTTGGGGGGTGAATATCATGGACGATATAGTGTATTTTTTATCTGATCACAATGCCAACTGTGGATACCAAAACAACTACAGAGTTTTGTCATTAAGCAATACCATGACGACAATAGACAATGGGCACAGACAAGCTAAGACTTGGGATTCTATCAAGTAAAAGTACTGTTAGTTATTTTAAGATATATAAACATCTGTATGAGCACAGAAATAATTGTTTTCCCTTTCAACAAAAAGTAATAAGGAAACAGAAAACGTCAATTCAAGAAACAGAAATTCCCTCATACACGTTTGCAAAAGTAGGATTAGACTTGTATGAAGTCTATCTCAGATCTCTATCATGAAACAGATTTATCATCAGTTTCATAGTTCATTATATTTGATCAATGGCGAGAGGTGTTTGCAGTGCCTGACAAAAGTGCAGAAAATAAAGTGCACCTTCTAACTGAAAATATCATTCCCAGATTTGACTGTCCATTGCAAATCGTCACAGATAATGGCACAGAAAACAGTAAAAATATGAACAGAGTAATGATAGATCTATATTAGAATCAAGCATTGGTTGGAGTTCCCTTCAATATAAGCGACTTTTCCAAATCTCTACGTATTTTTACTATACAATAGGGGTGTTGTGTTTCCAATAGATATTATAGGCTAATTTAGGCACGGCATAGGGTAGCCTTACAGCAACAACACACGTTTCCACGTTGGCTAGGACATTTAATGAGGTCAAAGCAGAGGAGGCTGCAAAGCATGTTGAAATTAAGATAACACATCCTGTCATCCTCGGCGACAAAGCAAGCTTCAATGTAAATGGCTTCCGTACTACCAGTAGTGGAACAAATGTCCCCTTTTTACTTTCGCAATCTGAAATCTATTTAGGGGGCGGTGGGATAGCCTAATCGTTAAAGCGTTTGCTCGTCACGCTGAAAACCCAGGTTCGATTCCCCACATGGGCACACTGTGTGAAGCCCATTTCTGGAGTACCCCGCCGTGGTATTGCTGGAATATTGCTAAAAGCGGCATAAAACCATACTCACTAACTCACTGAAATCTATTTACATGGCTCTAATATTGTATCCCAGGTAGGGAATTTAAGATTATGAAGAGTTGTTTACACAATGCATGACTTTGTTTAGAAAGCTAAGTTGAAATATTGGACAAAGAGCCGTCCCCGCCAATCCTATACAAATCCTATATAAGTAAGAGGGACCTCAGCAGTGAAGAACATAGTGATAAACTGGAAGACATGTACAGAGTAATGATGGAGGTCAATGATTTTGACAGCCAAAAACTAAGCTAGACGTGAAAACGGATAGTAAGGAAGACGACAACGCAGAGACCTAACGAGTGTTAGAGTGAGTGAGTGAGTGAGTTAAGGTTTACGGGCACCCGTGAAAAAAGCCACCTCATCGTGGTGGGTGCTGGGTAACGCTAAGCGCTCTTCGACCCCCCGTTGTGGACCCGGGGGTATGTTTGGTCCACCAACCTGTTGGCCGTGGGTTACGCCCCTGTGTCGGTGGAGGACGGGAGTCTGGTGGTTGAGGGCACTGGTTCAGGGTACAGCGTTCCTTTGCCCAACACACCACTTCGCCCCTTACTTCACCTAGACGGGTGGTTGAATTGGCCCGGTTCAACCAATCGGCTGGTCATGCCAAGCCCTGAGTATTATTGTATTTCACAAAATACTTCAACTTTTTAACTTGTTTTGATAAAAGTCTTGGCCAAATTATCTATCACTTGAATTTCAAGTGCATCTTCATTAATTTTGTAATTTGCCTAGAGTCATATACCCAGAAGGCGGTGGCTCATGGGCCAATCTGGTAGATTAATTAATTCTTTAATTCTTCTGCTGGAGTATATCATCCGGGTATCCCTGGTGCTGCAAGTCGGAGATCCACTAGTTCTTAGCAATGTCTTTATGACACTCCGTGGCGGGTGGGGAGCTCGGATGATGAACCATTATATAAACAACCATGGAGTACCAAACCCCCTCAAAAAAACCAAACTGATTACTGACCACGTTTCCTGGTGCTGGAAATTAAACCCATTTGCTGTATCAAAGAGTATACATGGCATTGTGGGAGACGTCAAAAACATTAAACGTTTACGTTCAGGTGCATTGCTAATTTAATGTAGCAAAAGGCAACAAGCATCAAACCTAATGTCAATTGAATCATTTGTGGGCGTCCCTGTCTCAGTGTCTGCACACAGAACACTGAATACCAGCAAAGGCATAATCAGAGACAGGGAACGCTTGTTGACTGACATGACGGAACTGGATATTGTGTCCGAAATGAAAGACCATGGAGTTACCTATGTCAAAAGGTTCACTACCCGCAAAAACAATGAGACTATTCCAACTAACACCTATCTGTATCCCCGAATCCCCCTCAGTCAATAAAGGCAGGATATTGTAATATTGCAGTAGATATCTATATTCCAAATACGTTAAGGTGTTATAGATGCCAAAAATATGGTCATGGCGCAAACACTTGCACAAAGCCAGTAAAATGTGGAAAT